CTCTTTTTCTGCGTTGAGAGACTGTAAGTTAGTAGCGATACCAGGAGGCCTTAGTAGCAAAGCCAGGGGCCCTAGTAGCGTCCTTACACCTTGTAGAAAGGTCGGAGGTCCTGGCTCCTGATAGCGAGGCCAGAAGCCCCTAGTAGCGTCGTTGGTGTCCACCGGTCGCAAAACTTTGTACATATAGCGCCAATATTGGCGCGTTTTGTGAAGACTACTAGCGACCTAAAAAGCCTTAGAAAGACAGAAAAAGCAAACAAAACAAAAGCAGACTAAGAGGGCAAGAAGGAAAGATAGGTGTAGTTACGAGGCCCACTTAGTTAAATGAAAGTAGAGTGCGAGCGGGACATTTTGTCTTAAACCGCCCGGGTAGCTAGCAATAGCTAGGAGAAACAGAAGGAAAGGCACCAACGCACAAGTGTGTTGAGTGCGATTTCCTTCTGTTGCCCGAAAAGCGGGTGGGGTAGCAACGAGGCCCAGGGGTAGGGGGGGTTGTGTGTGTGCCTATGCATGTAAATGCCCGGCCTGTGAATACTTAGCTGCAAGACGTGGACAAGTGGTCACTTAGCCGTATGCAAGAAACCAAAACCCTTAGGAACAGGGGTCGACACACACACACACATAGGCTCGCCAACATAGTTATGTGCGAGAATGTCTGAGATACCTTCAAGGCGTTCATCAATGAATCTCGATGGAGTACCTTGTTTCATGCTGATGCAGCTGCATACTCTCCCCTACTGCACTCGTCCCTATGAAGCATAGGATGTGTAGGTTGTGGCCCTCAATAAGAAGGAGCAAGCACCCACATGGCTGGCACCTGGATCTGTTTTATGATTGATGGTTCAGACACCAGTAGGTCCTGATCCAACAACGAAGTGCCATGGGCCCAAACACCCTTCATCTCCCTTTTCGGAGGTGGGAGTAGGAACGGGATGGCAGCTTCACAACTGTTGAGCCAACCCTTTTTGGAGGCCTTTGAAAGCAAAGACTCTTAACACGAAAGACGAGACTCAGGCCATTCCCTACGAGAAGCAGCCGATGTATACCTTCTACGAGCGAGCCTCCGAAGAGATCGCCAAGGACCGCGGAGACCCGTCTCGGCTCGGTGCGGAGAACCTGACCGTCTCGGGCTCGGAGCGAGGTGGTTCAGGCTCGTTGCACGCGGGGGGGTGTCCAAGTACCTGAGGAGGAGGGAACCGGAGAACAGGCAGAACACTGACTGGTTCTCATAAGACAGCCCCAGATTCAAGGTGTTCGTTCAAGGGGTGGATGCTCAGATTGGCCCTGAGCGGTTCGCTTCCCATCCGGTTTTTCCGTTCGCTTTTCGCCTGTAGGGAGTGGTTCTGTTACCCGATCCTTTTGAGCCATGGTCCAAAGGAGGTCTCACCGCGCATGGGTGAAGATTTCTTCCGTGCATCGCCACGGAGAGTGGGCCTGTTTTCCGCCTTGGCTGCTGTGAGCCCTGTGTTTGCTCGCTGTATCTGATGGAAGGCACAGCATAGCGAAGCAGTTCGCATAAGGCGGCCCTCAGGAGGGGGCATTGATGGCTCGACACGACCACAGAAAGGACCAGCAAGTGAGCAAGTGAATCTTTCTGCCTTCCCCAAAAAACACCTTGAGGAGAAGCACAAAACGCTGAAAGTCCATTGCTTGGAGGGGCTCTGCCATAGATGGAATATAGATGGAAGTTGGTTGATGAATAGAGGAGTTGGGGATACCGGATACCCCTTTTCATTTTTTCCGTGTTCACAGCCACACAAGGCAAAGGATGGCAAAAGGTACCCGGCACTGACCCCAAGGTATTCCCAAGGTCAGACATCCTTGTGCTCCAAGAGGTCCAACGGTGGACGGCACCCACGAAAGAGGCGAAACCTAAACCGGTGAAGGTGAACGGGTTGTTCGGTGGGACACGGAGCTGGGACAACAGGTGCACCGGTGTGGGCTCAAAAAGACCAGAAAAAAGAAGTTCGCAGGTCTTCGGTGAGTCCATCATGGACTTCGGTGAGTCCATTTTTCATCAAAGCAGATGGCGCCCGGTTTTTTGTTGCCCGCCAATGAGATGGATGGCCCGCAACTACTAGGAGCAAGGACGCTATTAGGGGCTCCTGGCCTTACTACTAGGAACAAGAAGCTACTAGGAGCAAGGGCATCGCTACTAGGGGCTCCTGGCATCGCTACTAGGAGCATTCTTAGCCCGCCAGTGAGATGGATGGCCCGCAAACCAGCTTGGACTCCGAGAACGTCGCCACATCTGCAGGAGCCCATTATCCGACTACCCGAAGAGAAGCGAAAGGTGACCATGACGGCGTCCAGCCGGCGTGCCTTCGGGCGGTGGATGGAGATTCATGAAATCTGGCTGGTGTGAAGCTCCCCAAGATGTGGGGTGCCATTGACCAGGTTCACAGCAGGGTGGATGTAGTTTTCATCATCCCATGATCTTCATCTCCGAGAACATCCCATACTATGATGATCATGACGTTCTGTGAGGTTTTCATGCAGTCCTGGACCAAGTAGATGGGAACCACTAGCTAGGGTACTTTGTTTCGGTTTTTGCGACGTTAGCGGAACAGGAGGTGAGAATGTTTCAGTTGTTTGCAGAGTTGTCGAAAGGGACACATGGGGTCAGTTGAAACCTGAAAAAACAATAGTTGGATTACATGATGTCCAACGCCTTTCACAGGACTTTGATTCGGAGTGAGCATTCAGAATTCCTTGGACATCCTTGGACGACCCTCTTTGCAGGACCCACTCCTTCCCCTCAACCTCCATGCCAGAAAGATAAACACATAAATACAACATGGGTGTCTCTCGAGGACTTCGGGGAGAAGGGTTTCTCATTGGACCCTAAAACCGTCGCTGTGCCCGATGCGCCCCAGTCCATGCCTCACGACAGGTCCTTCCATTTGACGCGGCACCCAGCCACGGGAACGGATGTGCTGAAAGGCGGGTGTCGGTCGGAGGAGCGAGAATGTCACAAGACCTGGGTGAATCTTTAAACATACACCTGTGAATCAAGATACTCATTGTTTTACATAGAGTCTGTCCTAGTACCTGTAACAGTTTCGGATAGACCCAATACAGCTGGTCTTAGGATAGACCCAAATATATACACATTTTATGCACATGTTTGTTTAAATCAACAATGCACCTGTTCCAATTGACGTTTGGCCTAACCAACATGCTTGGTCCCGTGGAGAAAAAACCGTCATTCCTCAGGTCAGACCACCATGTCCTCGTTCGCTGAAGTGTCCCAGAACGAGCCGTGAAATGACCAGTTGTGACGGAAAAGAGCTAGCCTGAGCCAGTCTGCCCCTTGTGCAAGCATTCGAAGAACTGTGGTGGCTGTTCATATTGTGAGACCCAACCAAGTTCCAAGTTGGATTCTCCACCCGCACTTGGAGATGCATGTGGAAAGTCTTGCGGTGGGATGCGAATGCCTTGTATGTGCATTGCTCCGTACTACCGCACAGTCAGACTTTGCAGAGTCCTTCGTTCCCAGGTTAGCAGAAGATTGAACACACTCCGAGTCACTAGCATCACTAGCCATGGAAGTGGAAAATAACCTCTTCGTAGAGTAAACGGGTCATCCGCCGCGCCGTCCATGCTGGCGCCATCCACGCCACCATGGATTATTCAGGGAGTGTAGATTCACCTCTGCTTGGTGGAGGGCCGTTTGGCACAAACATGAAGTTTTCTTCTATGGGATGGGACATCGTTGGGTCTCTGCTGGGCCACCGTTGCCACTTCCGCAGGCAAGATCCCTCCGGCGGGCGGTGTGAAGGCCTATGCCGCCGAGTCCGTGTCTCAGTGGGGCTTCCACCGCCGCGGAACCACGCGTTTCGGGCACGGGGAAGGGGAGTGGGCCTGGTCCAGGCTGATGGCCTGGGGTGTGTGGGAGGTTGGTTGGCCTGGATTCAGGCTGGTTTGCAAGGAGACACTCCCCGAACTAATCGTGGAAGCCTATTTGCAGGGGAAAATGGTCGTCCCAGACATCGGCATTGATGCATTGGTTTGGACGTGGGCGGGTGAGGTGGTGGGATGCACTGGGATGCACCTGATCTGGCGATCCCAACTCAAGCCAAGGATCCCAAACTGGATCTCTGCGGGGGATTTACAGAGATTCAGTTTGTGTGTGTGTGTATTTGGATAGATTTGTTGTGTGGATTTTGTAGATTTGGATAGATTTGTTGTGTGTATTTTAATATGGGTGTTGGTCTATTTTCCTTCCAGGGGGTCGAACATGGAGGTCTCCCCCATTTGGCAAGACCAGCCTCACACCCACGGTGCCACTCGACAGCCTCGACCCATCGGACCCGTCAAGACGGTCCGCGCGGGTCGCTCGCAGTACCTGGTTGGACAAAGAGCATCTGGGCATGAAGGATCCCACTCTACGACCTGGAGATGCCGATCTGGAGGACTGGCGGAAAAAAGAAGGATTGGATTCCTCTCAAGCGGCCAAACCCATCCCGACCCCGGTTTTGAGATATATGATTATTGTGCATTTTTATGTAATATATATATATATATATTACATATACACATACTCTTGAGGTTTGGATAGAAATTGGTTGAGAGATGTCCAGAGTGTGAGAATGAATTTCATCTGCTTGCAGTTGCATTTGGAGGTTGCTTCCCCACATTGCCTTGCCCTACCACTTGATGACCAGTGACCAATTGATGTCACTTTTCCGCAGGTTCGACCTGCGTGAAACTTGACGCTTCCCATCTACCGCGGGCGTGGCAGGAGACCATCAAAAAGAAAGCCTCAAGAACAGATCCGCTGGCAGAGTTCGATGAGGACAGCCGTGAAACCTTGTGAATGGACAGCTTCTGGAAACAGAGAATTTGCGATTGAAATTCTAGCGTCTTTACGTACACACAGAGTCTCACACACACTTTTAGGAGGAAGCTCGGACGGAGCCCAATTCAGAAGTTTGCAGGGAATGCATTAGCGCTATAGATGTAGTTATGGCAATACCGTTCTGGTGCAAGCCAACCTGGAGAAACCTGAAAACATACCTTTGAAATGGCCGAGAACAACTGGCAACTGTTTCTGCATCAGGGTTGTGATCGGGTGATCAATCCGTGCATCCAAGGCATCCGAGGCAAAATAAGCTTTGCTGCATTGAGTTTGCTGGGAGTGCTCAGTGCCCCTGCTGGGTCTTTCCGCTGCTGGTCACGTGTCGATCCCTTTGGAACGGGGGTTGACACACAAACACAAAAAACGCACACACTCTGACACTTGTATTCAGTGACTCAGTTCCCACGTTGGGAAGGAAGGTGATGGAACAGCAAGGCGAAAAGGTCCAAAGACTTGAATTGTTGAAAAAAGTTTCACTCGCGCGGCTGGCTGCAAGGCACAGGCGGCTGAAAGCTGGGGAAGAGTGGGTTTGTGGGGAGTATCATGAACAACCATGGAAACAAAAAAGGTGATTGGAACAGCTTGCTCAACCGTTGGTTGCAGGTACGTCGGCCAGCGTCCTGGCCGATATCCTCAGGACACTGCAGAGAGCTTTGTTAAGTGGAGCTCTGCAGGCCTGCTCCACTCCCCTGCATGTGACTGAAAAAGGTGGTTGAAAAACTGTGGAAGGAGTAGCGGTGGAAAACCCTTTGTCCAGGGGTGGACACACACAGGTCGCCGGCTTCGGCGCTTTTTCGGCGCGCATGTGAGAAAACTAAATAGTCACCTAAAAAGCCTTAGAAACAAAAGGAAAGAAAGACAGAAAGAGCAGCGCTAAGAGGGGAAGAAAGAAAGATAGGGGTAGTTACGAGGCCCACTAGTTACAAAACCTTCTAGTTACTGACTACCTAGCGCTCTAGTTACTGAATACTTAGCCCTTGACTTGAGGGAACGGAAAGAAGTGCTGGGTCCGATCAACAGAAGGTTTCAACAAGAATTAGTTACTGACTACTTAGCAGGTCTTAATTGGGTGCAATAGTTAGGGAGCGGGACTTTAGTCTTAGACCGCCCGGGTAGGAAAGTGTGTCGAGTACCATTTCCCTATGTTGCCCCAAATAGGTAGGGAGTAGAACTCAGCGGGGGGGGGGTGGGGGAACCTGCCTCATTGGGGGTTAAGCAATGCACCGTTTTATAGCCCGGCGGCTGTCGAGGGACTTCCGTGTTTGGGCCCGGCGGCCAATGCATCTGTTGATTCAAAGGGTGTGTCAAAGACTTCCAGTGGAAATCCGGTGAGAGGTGGCATGTTGGGTTGGTTGCTTTCCGATGTAAAAAACTGCGCCCCTGTGACGGGGATCACACTCAGCACCCGAGTGGGACGGCTGAGCGAAACACACTCTGACACTTGTATTCAGTGACTCAGTTACCACGTTGGGAAGGAAGGTGATGGAACAGCAAGGCGAAAAGGTCCAAAGACTTGAATTGTTGAAAAAAGTTTCACTCGCGCGGCTGGCTGCAAGGCACAGACGGCTGAAAGCTGGTGAAGAGTGGGTTTGTGGGGAGTATCATGAACAACCATGGAAACAAAAAAGGTGATTGGAACAGCTTGCTCAACCGTTGGTTGCAGGTACGTCGGCCAGCGTCCTGGCCGATATCCTCAGGACACTGCAGAGAGCTTTGTTAAGTGGAGCTCTGCAGGCCTGCTCCACTCCCCTGCATGTGATTGAAAAAGGTGGTTGAAAAATTGTGGAAGGAGTAGCGGTGGAAAACCCTTTGTCCAGGGGTGGACACACACACACAAAACTGCGATCAAGAGAAGAAGCGCTGAAAGACAGGTGTTTGGTATGACGGACAGCACGCAATATACTGGTATACACACGCTTTGTACGAAACGACCTTGTAGATGCTGTCCAAACCATTTGCGAAAGATCCGCGATGAGGTTCACAATGTATTTTTCTCTTTCGCGAAAGATCTATCGATGGTTTTTTTATGTTATGTCCTTTTGAGCGACAGAGAAATACAAGGTCATTCAATCTTTTCGCAGAGCTGGTGGACGGAAGTGTCCCCGCTGTCGAAACCTTGATTTGTCCTTATGCAGCTGCAACACTTTGTAAAGTCAAGGAATGTCGGATTCCTTTCCCCACTGTCAAACTCAAGTCTCAACTCAATGTTTCCTTGCGCAGCCCTCACAGTGTGTAGAGGATTCTCCGATGTATCATCACAGGCTAACAAACTGAGAACTCAACATTTCCAGGCACAAATCCTGACAGTGGCAACTTTGACAGGTTGTGCAAACGTTTGGCATTTGGGGGGGACACCACCAGTATTCCATGGTATTCCTCAAGGTTTGTCGTGCAGATGCTGCAAGTGACAAAGAGAGTAGAGTATAGATATTGTACTTGTAGCAATCTTCAACCTTGAGTGTAGATCATATTGTAATATGCCACTTGTTTTTTCTTTACATAGTGTAGTTCAACAGCGACAACATGTTAACTAGAGTAGACATGTTCTTTAGGAGCACGCTCCGATCCACGAACTAGCGAAAAAGTTTCGATTCATGAAACAAATGAAAGGAATAATAGGATTAGCCACATATATATATATATTTATACACATGATTTTAATGTTGAAGGGTCCTCGAAAAAGCTCAAAAGTTCAAAGAACTCCAGGTTGATGAGCTCCAAATTCTTGGCAACAGGGTCAGGGTGTTCTTCGTTGTTCTTCGTTGCCTTTGACTTGACCGATGCTCGGCCCTGCAGGACTCGCCCTCCCCCGCGCAGGTCACACGGCCCACCTCCGCGGCCTCCGCCGCGTCTGGAGCATCGGCCGGGTCGGTGCGGGACTGAGGGCGGAGATGAAACGCCGTCGCGAACGGAAGAGCGCATGGTTTACGAGCATCCACCAGGACCCATCCACCATCATCCACGGATTTTCTTTTGGGGGGTGGATTCTTGATAGAGATATCATTCTCAGTGAGTGAAGCGGAAAGTCACGGAGTTGGGCCGTGGCCATGGCTAGAAAGGAGACTCATGGCTTCTTTCTCCTGAAATCCGAGATCGGTGCTGGAGCGCAACGTAAAAGACATTGGCAAGCTTTTGGGACCCACACTGGCAGGTAGGATGGTGAACCCAGATGTTTGGTGAACATGTCTGTCGCTGAGCACCGATTCGATCCCCACGAGGAGTGGGTCCTTTGTCCGAGCATCATTTGGGAAACAGTTGATGAAACATGGCATTCTATACACGGCCTGGTCTAAGGATGCGTCATCTTCCAAGAAGAAGAAAAAGGGAAAGAAGGCTTCAAAGCTGCGCCCTCGGATTTCTTGCCTTGAGAACTCAACAGCGAGTTGTTTTCGCAAGGCTTTGTGATTTGTGGAGTTCCAAGAGTTGATGTTGACAGGATTCCTTTAATAGCAACACAGCTTCGCCTCCGGTGGTGCACTCCTCAGGGAACCCTCATCTGACCACACAGCCTGGGACCCAGAGCATCAGAGATTCTGGTCAGTTTTTCAGGTTTGTTTGTTTTTGTTTGGGCTGTCTGCCACATCCATTCAGCCGCAGATTCCCCCGGTCAACAGTGGGATATGAGCGAAAACTCAGCAACATCTCAGGGGAGAGTTGAAGCGACGGAGAGGTATGCTGGTCTGATCATGTCACTTTTAAGTGCTGGTGCTGCTGCTGCTGCTGCTCCACAAAAGAGGGCATCTTTGGGTTCCAAAGATCGCCGGCAGCCAGGCGTCTGTGCTTGCCTCTGCGGAGACCAGCAAAACAGAGGCAGCTCGGAAGTCATTGACAAAGGGAACGTCTCGACCGCTGTTGGTAACTTCGTGATCTCAATCCACGATAAGGTTTTGCAAGCACTCTCAGATGGGGCAATATGCCTTTTGTTGAGTCTAAGACTTGTTCAACATGTTCTTGGTCCCCACCCGTAATTAAAGAAGAGAGCGGGTTGCTAGCGGGAAGATAGAATTTGCGCCATGGCTGAACGCAATTCTGCTCACACGGACACACGAGTATAATGACCCTTATACAAGAATCCTTAAGACACATAGCTTTCTTCCTTGGGAAAAATTGCAAGTGCCACGCAAGTAGTAACAAGTGCCTTACTAGTAGTAACAAATAGCTATTAGAAACAAGTGCATCGCTTCTAGTAACAAGTGCCACGCTAGTAGTAATCCCTTCGCAGCGCTGCGCTCTTTGTCATGTAGAGGCCGAGACCTCCAAGACCGATTCTTTGACTGTAGGGAGCTCAGTGCTTGGCTTTGGGAATCACTTATGTTGGAAAAAGGATGCCCAAAAAGGCCTGGATGTTCAACAGGACACAGAAGCTCCAATTCGTTCTGAACTGGTCATTTTTGGCTTTCTAGGCACCAAACAGGCTCAACATGAGAAGTCTTGCCTTTTTCCATCCTTCCTCTGTTTTTTTGTGTTTGGTTTCATGCTTTTTCCGTGTTCCTTTCCTCTCCAAATGCTGACCACACCTCTTTCCAGGACCGTGCCGGTAACGCGAACGTGACGGGGCGAACGCCGCCCCCAAAACACGGCCGAGTCCAAGGTGTCTTGTTGCTTTTTGAGACATGGGTGAAGAACCACAAGGCAAAGTGGCGTTCATGGAAAATGCCCATGGGGAAAGAGATCCACGACCATGAGCGTCCTAGAAACTAGGTTCCAACCGTCATGGTTGGAAGAGTAGTGCTCGGAACTGCTGGATCCCCGGGCACATTTCAACTACGAACCTCTTTTTCGTTGTCCTAGCGTGGTGCGCAGCTTTTGATCTGAAGATCTCTGAAGCATTCACACTCAATCAAATCAGCATGGAAATGGAAAAGTGGAGAATGGCCTCGAATTACAATTTTCCTCTACAAGCAGGTCGTTCTCCACGTCCATGATGATTCCAGGGAGTCTACCGACTTGACCCAATCAAGGAAATATGACGCGCATATCCGCAATTCTGCACATTTTCAGGACGAAGGGGAGGCTGATCCAGAGGTGGAGGGCAAGAAAGAGAAGCCGAAAAAGAAAGGCCGGATGGCCGGGTGGCAACGGGTCTACGATTCCGTATCCCTCACAAAAAATCGGAGAGTTGAACACGTGGCAGGAGTGCCTCTTATGCACCTGTAGTTCGTGTAAGCCATTCATGTTTAGATACTCTTCGTTCTTCTTCAAACGCTTTTCCGTTGCTTCAGACTGGCAAAGTGATGTGTTTACCAACACATTCTAGGATTTGGCTTGGTGTTCTTTCTTGAGCCACGCTCATCCTTGTGCAGTACTCAAGAAACGCTAACATGTTTAGCCCAACTTCCAAGCGCACATCACACGTGAGGCGGCAAAAAGAAAGGATCGCAGGATACCGATGACATGGGCCTGGAGCCTCCAGATCTTGCGTGTTTCTTTGCTTTTTTGGTGTTGTTTTTTGTTTTTCGGGTCGCACCCATAGGTGGATATACCGGGGATGACTCGGCTTGCTTATGTGTAAACAAACTTTGTATGGGTTTGGAAGTCATGACTTGACATTCCCATACGTTCTGGACATGCTGTATGTAGCGGGTGGGTGTTTGTGTTCGTGCACAATGGCAGGAACAATGAAGCAGCCTTTCCCAGTGTTTCACAAATCCAAGGAGATTTGTTGATCACCCCCTAATACGAAGGTCGGTAGGTGTGGATAAAAGGGAAGAAGACTCATTTGCAGTACTTCTGCTAGACTACGAAACTACGAAGGTTTGCCTCCAACCCATCCCAGTGTGAGCCATTTGGGGCGAAAATTGCATGTGTCTTTCCCCTTAGCACGACTGGCAGAGGGATGCATGTCTTGGGTTTTCGTGAGATCTTCATTTCTAATCACCGGCAACCATTCATTTCCAAAACAACCACAGCAGCAGCAGCAGCAGCAACAACAACAACAACCTCTTCTTCTTCCTCACGCAGAGCGCGGTCCAGCAGTTGTGCTGTTGTGGAAAGTGGTGGAAGTGATCCCCGGTGGCTGTGGTCGCTCCAGGCCAAACGGCTGAGAGCTTCGCTTCGGCGGCCTCCGCCGCCACGGCACAGAGCGCCGTCACGGTGCGGTGGAACACGCGTCGCCCGTGTGGTGAAACCGGGCGCCGGGGTTCCTCGGGCGAGGTGGCATGGTGCCGGTTTTGTCCGGTTTCGGGTTTGAAGTCCAAGGGAGAATTCCATGACCTTTGACTCCAGTGCAACTGGAGGGGCACCAGCTGAGGCAGAATGCAGAAGTTTTTTCTTGAATAGGATGAGGAGTTTGATTCTTTATGGAAGGGGTCTGGGATCACCGTGATGCACATCATAGCCGTAGCCACCCCTTCCAAGAGATCATATTTGGATATGTTTGCAGTAGTGAAGCTGGTTGCTGTGGTCGCTGAGCAATTGGAAGCAGATAATGTATCTGCACGATTTTAGCAAGAAAGGCATGGATGCAAATCGAAGATAGAGCAGAGCAATTCCTTTCAAGGACAAAGCTGGGCAGTTTGCCAAACCAAAGACCGGAGGGGGCCACTGCAGTTTTGGTAGAGGCTTCTTGGACGATTGTACCAAACGATGGTGTCATCTAACAAACAAACACGTCTGGTGAAGTGGGGGAAGCGGAAAGGCACGCCACTGCATTGGCCATTGGCACGTTAAACATTGTTCATATTTGGAGAGAACCCCTTTGGATACTTCAGATTGCTCGATCTTCGATGGACTTTCTCAGGAAGCTTCAAACCGCAATTGTTCGAGAACCAGAAACTAGTGGTAAACAATGACCAAGATCTTTGGCCTGCTGCATGCCCCATCCCACCGACGACTCTGCCTCACGCCAGGATGAAAGTGAGGTAGACTCCCCCAAAGCCAAGAAAAAACCCAAAGCCACGCCCTCAGGATGCGATTGGAACGAGAACGACATGAAAACTCCTTGCCCACTCGCTGAACCCCCAGGCTTCACATGGTTTCCCATGTCCAGTTGTTCAACCAGGTTCAACCCTTTGTGGGCTGGGTCATGTGTTTGGTCCGGAGAAATTTCCTGGAGGTCGATGTCATCCATGCAGGACTTTTGACCCAACGGACTTCAAACTGTGACGATCCTGTGGGCCAACTCCCATGATCGGTGGGATTGGCCAACTCTCGTGTGTTCGCCACCACGTGAAGCACCAATGCTGCTGCTCAAGCAGTGAAATTGGTGCATCAGCATGAATCTGCTCTATCCGTGGCTCACATGCCGGCAGTGTTTGGTTCAAAGTTGGAGCTTAAAGTTGGAGCTTGTGGACGATGGGATTCCAAGCTGTCGCCTTTGTAAACGTGAAAAGCCGCTTGCCTAGTTTGATACCTCAACAAAAGCAAGACTACTTTCTACATCACATGTGTCGTTTGAAGTAAAGCTATGAACACCATGAGCACCTTCTTGGTGATTTCTCGGGGGGAGCGCTTGAAAAAGAAGGTAAGTGGCCATCTTTGGAGTACTGGAAACTGGACAGGCACAAATGATTGAGTGAGGAACCCATCTCATAGAACAACAAACACCTAGTGTTGATTCCAGCAGTATTTCTCCAGTAGTTGCTGGCTACTTTGAAGAGGATTCACTTATATACAGTATATTTACTTCTGCCTTTCCATCCATTTGAGATCCTTTTGTCCTTTCCCGCCGCGGCTATACATGCTGTGCCATGCACATCCCTTCCGCGGCACTCTTTCATCATGGGCAGCTGGACGGGGCATCGTGCTACACCCAGGCCGTGGGGCGCGCTGTTCGGACCGAGACTTCGGCGGAGAGTCCCTGCGCGTCGAACGGAGCTACATGGCTTTGGGTGGGTGGTTATACACAGTCGACACTGTGTCAAGATCCATTCATCATCTAGATCCATTCAGAATCTTGCTGGATAGTGGGATATACGATTGAAATTGATTGAATATGATTGAGAATTGAGAACACTGTTTGTGTTGGCCTTTGCGCTAGAGGTTGTAGTGGGTGAACGCGCTCATCCACCTTGAAAGTTTGAACTTGTGATGCTCCCCACATGTGGAGGCCGCTAGGACTGCTCTCCACCCCCCAAAAAGGAGTTTGGGACGATGGCATCACGTCATTCATCCGACGTCCAGGACTGCTCTTCTACTCCCCGACTCCCAGCGGACGAGGCGTTCGCTCCTGGGCACAAGTAGGCGCGAAGAAACGCCGCGAGACGCAGGGGTGGAGACCTCACATGGGTGCAGACCTCAAGAGTTTCTCATGTTTTTAGAAGAGAGAGGTAACTCAGAAGCGTACTTTTGGTGACCGGATGCAGTTGTACCAGTTTCTTGAGCTGAAAGTAGTGGCCTATCAGCCTGAATCAGGAAGATGAGAATGTTTCAAGGACTTGGGATTTTGGGATACTACTTGTCCGGCTCCACTGAGTTGCGACCTTCTGTCGATTCGAGATCAGATTACCCATCATGAACCGTTCACCGTACTTTACGGGAGCTGCCAGCCACCCTTTCTCTAGCCGTAGCCAACTTGAACTCTTGTCCAGCTAGGGATCCCTAGATCTCCGTCCACCCTCTTAGGTGCGTTGGAGGATGTAGATCCAGACGATCTCCTCTGCCTGGTGCCGCTGGAGGCATGACGAGCCGCCCGCCGTCGTTCTGTTCAGACGCGCCGAAAAATCATGAAAAATCCGTCAGGCTTGTGAACTGCTAGCATATCACAACATGCAAATGTAAATGTATACATTTGAGGAATAGCAGTGCATGTTTTGTGCGCTTTCATGTGTGTCTGCCCCTTGAAATCACAGGGATCCTTTAGGATTGTGAAGCTTCTTTTTCTTTTAGCAGGGGGTGCCAGGGACCGTGCAAGTCTGGCACTAACAAAGACGCTTGCATTGGTCTGTGAAATCGATTTGGGACGCCAAATCGACGTACCAGCTTGTTGTCACCTGGAAATTCCCAATGGTCCCTGCTTTTAACTACAACAAGATTCTGGCCTTTGCACCGGTTCTTCATCTGCAGACTCTGCACGTTCCGTCGTCGTTGTCGATCGATCGTTTCGTGATGTTGCAATGTGGAACCCAGAGCTTTGGAGGCTTGAGATTTTGGAACCGTGGAAGATCTGAACTCTGCTTTCTTAGGTTTTTTATTTTAGGCTGTCGTGTGGCACCGCTGTCAAGTCAGTATTTATGCATTTCTATAAGTGTGTGCACGCGCGCAAGCCATGGAGTCATGGGCAAGCTAACGGCTACACTTAACTCTTATATAACTTTCTAACTTCATTGTTGCATGCCAGTTCAGAAGGGGCTTGGTTTGATTTGGTGATATCAAAGTTGGCCACTCTATCATTTCAGGCAAGGTACGTCTGCAGAGGTGCATTCCTCTGTTGCCCGGTACTTCAGGCCCCTGCGGGGTGAGCGAGCTTTGCCATACAAAAGCATATCTGACAGCAGGAGCTTTTCAAGTAACATCAAGTAATCAAGGAGGAGCAAGTAATTCAGGTATGAGCTCACAACGAGCAGGAGGAGCCAATCGGCCCCGACATACTAAGTACAAACACTTCGCATATCTTCGCATCATGTTCGTCATAGACTACTACTACTACTACTACTACTGCTACTGCTACTGCTACTGCTACTGGCGGACGCAGAAGCATTGACGGGAGTTACATGATGCTTGGAAACTGTAGCCCACTTCAAAACACCTGTTTCGATTGTGCCAATGCATCCACAAACTTTGGAGCGTGAATCGACGATGGAAGACGCAGTTGAATTACTTTTCCTTGTAGGCATGTGCAACCTGTAGAGGGCACCAGACATGATCCGTGTTAGTGTGGTGTATCACTGCTACGACATCAAAAATGTCCAACTGTCTCCCATGTTGCTGCGGCCGCGATGATGTGAACATAAAATACATCATTACATGTGTCACAGGTTTTTTTGAATGTGAAAAACATAAACAGCAAGAAATTGAATGACACCAACATGTGACATGTGTATATTCTGCCACACTTATTGCAACATTCACGTTTGTTTTCCCAGGCACTTGAACCAAACTAAGCCTAGATTTCTCCCCCCTTGCCCTCCGGCTCGTGCGGCACAGGGAGATAATATTTGTTTGTCCTCGTTTGGTTGAGAGGTTTGTTTGGTTGCAGGTGGTAGGCTGCTTGTCACACCAGGCTTCTCATGTTTTCTCCTCCTTCGTGGTCCGCAAAGCAGAGGTTGTCATCACAGAACTGTGTCCCGATCCTCGAGTTTCAACTTTTGATTCCATCGGTACCCACCTTCTGAAGAACCCTCCGACAAGTCATGAGTCAATCATTGATTTTTAGCCTTTCAAGTGTTCTTCAACATTGGTCTCACTGCGTGAACACTCCTGCCAACGACCATAGAGGTGGAACATGGTGGAACATATCCTGCTTGTAGAGGAAAGTCGTCTTCCAATCTGTTCACTTCCATGATTGTTGGAAGGACGTCTAGTTGATTGATGTTCTTTGACGATCACTCGCTGATACCATGCAAGACATCTTCAAGATACAGTCTTATCACAACGCAAGTAGTGGAGAAAGAAGCATGTTCTTGGATTCAAATTGATATTAAAGCTGTGGGAGCAACCCGTGGGTTTTCGTCAATTGACAGAGTCTGCTTTTTTTGCCGGTGTTCTGCACTGAAATGAGGTACGCCCAAATCCAAAAAAATTGGGTCTGGTGAGTTGGCCGCCGTGAGGCTTGTTTGGGGCATGAGCTGTGGAAGGATCTGGAAGAGCAAAGTGAGGAAGCAACTCGGTGTTCAAACCCTAAAGAATTTGGTTCCAAGCAGCATGCCCTTGCCCTTGCACATGGTGTCACCGATCGGTTGGTTTTCAGATCCGATCGGTGAGAACCCGTGAGATGTGTGAGAACCCGGCAATCAATCACAAAGTTGGACACTGCCCCCCCTCAACACTGCACCCCTCAAAATATTAGCCTAATCTCGAGGAAGAAGGCCGAAAGCGTTTGTTTGTCGCAGACCTGCAGATCTATTTCAAGATTAGGCTAATCGGGACTAATATTTTAAGGGCAGTATAGCCTAATTTCTATTCCATTAATGACAGAATCGAAGAACCAGAGTTGCAGGAAAAGATATTAGGCTATACTATTCTTTTGGGCGTTAACATCATTTTCCAAGACCACTGTCTTGGAACACGCAAACAGCAAAGGAATGCAAAGGGCAAATCTTCAGAAACGGCGCGCTGGAAGTTTAGCCTAAAAACCAGAGTCGCAGGAAAAGAGATTAGGCTATTCTCTTTGGCGTTAGCAAAATTGTCGCCTGCGGGACTCACCCAAATACCTTGATCTTGGAACGATGAATCCCAGGGATTTTGCCAACTCCACTGCATCGACATACTTGATTTCCCAAAAAGGCACAAGGCTTGATTAGGCTTTGCCCTCTTTGTAGGCGACCTGATTTCCTGTAATGGGCTTATTTGCTGTCAATAATAAGCCCTTCCAATCAATGAAGATAATAAGCTTGACACAAGGCCTAAACAGACCTTGCCAAAACGTGCCCCACATGAGCAATTCTTATATTTTGACAGGTGTAGTGTTGATGGGGGCAGTGTCCAACTTTATGAATCAATGGATGATGATTCAAACACTCGAATGGCCAGGGCCAGGCAAGGGAAAACAGATGTAACAAGAGTTGGTTGCTACATGTTGCGGAAAATGTTCCAGCACTCGGAGGGAGAAGATGTGTGTCATGAGCGTGTCATGAGCGTGTGTTCTTGAAGAGCCAATCTACTCGTACCTTGTTCGAGGTCGTCATTTAAAGAAACGCACAAGGGTCTCTACCTAGGAGGTGCTCACAAAGCATTTGTCCGTCGTGTGGATCCAACGTGCACAGAGTTTTTGCGTGATCCATCGTGATCCATTTTG